ACCTTCGAAAGAAGCAGAAGGTTATAGATAAATAAACAGTGTCTAGCAAACAATATTTCAAAAAAAAGATAGAAGCAATTTAGAATTTAGCTGGCCTGAGCATAATTTTTAAATAGCGCACCGATATTTGCATATTTATATTTGATAATTTTATCCAGCCTAGATGAATCAATTTGAGATAATGAAAGCTCAACGTGATAATACATTTTGTCCATTTTATAAAGGATTTATTGAGAAACCAAATAATAATTAATTCCATCTTCTGACTCAATTTTATTCCATTTTAGGCTGTCAGTGAAATCGTCTAGAACCTTTCCTGAAATAGCCAGACAAAAGGAAAAAAAGCGAGTCAAAATTTGTTATATGGCATGTTTTGTGCTTCTGAAAATGTAGATATCCGAGAAAACGAGATTAGTTAAAGCCTTCAAATAAATAGTTGAATAGAAGTTAAAAGTAAATGAAACGTGCCAGCAATGCCCACCTGGTATGTGCAAGCCAAGTTCACATTGACTTCCTACGTGAGTGGTAGAAGCGGCTTCACGTTTGGTGTGAATATGCTGGCGCAGTCGAGGGGATGGGTCTCCACCGATGTGCACATTGAATGGGCTGCCGGGCACGTGTTCGTCAGCATACTTTACGTTGACAAGATAGAGACCTGGCTCCGTCGGCTCGTAAGTTACGCGACAAGTACCGTCCTGGTTATCATGGCATTCGATTTCAGCCTTGGAAGGGCCTTCAACAGAGAGACAAAGGCTGGCATAACCTGTTTCGAGAATGGAAAGATTGTAAATTTAAGAAACGGTGAGAGAAAGTAAGAGCAAGAAAGAGGTTGAACACTTATTAAAAGAATGAGTGATATAAAGTGACAATGAAATAAATACTAGAACAATCGAGAAGTTACTTAGAATAAATTTACAATTCTGAATATTACCCCATTCTGACGGGAGCATATTACTGACTGATATACGATTGCAGATGATATGTAAGGGATAAATACGAAGGAAATAGCATACTCAACCATCAATCCTAATGTCACCTTGAATAATATAATTTATTAATGGAAGGAAATAAGAAAATAAAAAGTAGAGAGTAGCTAGGCCTCGTCTTGCATAGTGCAGATTGTAACTTGTTATGGCTATAAATATTAGTTTTTTAAAGCCAAATGTAATACTTTAATTCCCGAATAAAGTCAGGCTAAACTCTTCCTAGTGGTGAAAGTACACTACTTCAATCTCCCCTTAGAAAATCTTAGGAAAGGATATCTTAAAAATACAAAAATCAAGCAAATTAGTTAAAGGTCTATGATTATAGTGGAGCTGGTGGTAAACAAACTTTTCCACACATTGCAAGCAGGGACAGGAAATTTGAAACAAAGTAAGTCTATTTGTGACACTCGACCATACAGTTCATCGCGATTCCAGACACCAAATACTTGAAACCACGCTCAAGGCATCTAGGCAAACGTCCCCGTGGCTGTCATCTAATTATCTTTAATACGCTGACTGATTAATAAAGGGAGCAGTCCGACAAGTAGATAACAGATACGAAGAGAAACTTGGTTTCGATGAATCTCCTGAAATAACATTGTTAGGGGGACCTTCATTTCGTATGAAAGTGCATAGGAAGAGATTCGTTAGTCGATCTCACCAAATGAGGACGGATGAAGCTCGTTTTACTGCAGCCAGGAGGGTTTTGTACGATATTCATGTTGACGCAGTCCATGGGACATTTTTGATAATCACACAAAATAATGAGAATATACTTAACTATGGACAAGTTTTATGTGTAGACTGGCAGGTAATTAAATATTTAAATGGTCATTAAAATACAATTAAATAGCTAAGA